ACTCAAGAAAACTCTGGGAAGCTGTGGGGTTGGTGGGTAAATGCCCCACAGCTAACCATCTATCTCTATTTAGGAATTTTGTGTTCTGTTAGCCATGACCCCCTTAAGCAGTTAGGCTTCAAGGTGGGTCCCCCTTCCTCATCAATGGACCACTGCCCTTGATGTTACTGCCTCCTGACCAGTACACCTGATGGGATTTTCTGTACCATGCTGTTGTGATCATCTTTGAGCTCCCAGTAGTGCTGGTTCCCTTCTCCCTGGTCATGCTCACTGGTCTTCTCAACAGGGATGCTCCAGCATCCCACAGAGTGGGATGGTCTCTGCTCACTCCCCATGGAAATATTTGCTGATATATCCACTCTGGCACAGGCAATTCTCAGAGATTTTTGATCACCACTTTTCTACTACCTGATTTCAGCTGCCTAGATTAAGTTGGTCCTGTAATGTGGGCATGGTCATCCTCTAACCAGTTCCAGGAAGCCATCCCTAGAGCATTGCCTTATATCCCGGGGAATCTGCCAATGGTTTGTTCTAATGTCATTCTATCGCTGTGATAAAACACTCTACCAAAGCAATGAAAAGGAGACAGTGATTTATTTGACTTCTACTTGTAAGCCATAGTCTGTCACTGAGCGAAGTCAGGGCAGGTACTCAGAGACAGGCAGATTGCTATTCCACACAGCATCATCTATGACCAGGGAACTTTTTCACAGTTGGAGAGGAATAGCAGGAACCATGGAAGATGCTGCTTGCTGTCTTGATCACTAACTCCTGCACAGCTAGGTATCTTATCCATTCAGAGACCACCTGCCCTGGGAATGGTAATGCCCTTAGTGCCTGGGAATTCCTACCTCATCAACAGTCAAAACAGTCCCTCCATGGACACTTCCTTCTTAGGTGACTCTAGACTGTATCAAACTCAGAGCGCGAACCAGCAAAGATGTGCAAGTCTTTTCTCTTTTCCCTTCTTTCTGTTTCTTTTTTTTAAGGCCCCCCTTCCACAGGTGTCTCTTGTTCCACAGGCAGAGACTGTCTCTGAGCCCCTGCGCTGCATCCCTAACCTCACTGCATGTTTCCTTCACAGATGCTGATTCTCTTTGCTACAGCTTCACTGTGGGCAAGTCAGGGTCTGGACCATGGTGGCACCAAGTCCAAGGCCAACTGAACACAGAAACTGTTATTTACTGTGACAGTTCCAACACCTGTCAGGCCAATGGCATTCTGGGGAACAGATTGAAGGCCACAAAGACCTGGGAAACACAGGCTGACACTCTGAGAGATGGAGTTGACCTGTTCAAACAGCAAATGGTTTACATGAAGCAGGAGAACAATACAATCAGAGGTGAGGTTCAACTGGCCCCATAGTGCTCGAGATGTAGCTCAGTGGTAGAGGGCTTGCCTGGCATGCAAGAGGCCATAGGTTCCATCCCCACAGCTACAAATTAAAGAATAATCAGATGGGCCCCTGATGGAGAGAACAGGATTTGTGACAGGGTAGGGACATTCATTGTTTTCATGGAGATAAAATGAATTATGGAGGTCCCACCTAAGAGGCTCAGCAGCAAGGTAAAATGTGGAGGGTAGAGCAAGGTCAGAGGATGGGAAGGGAGGTAGGTAGGCCGGCAGGATTCATCAAGGTCAGAGGCTGATCTCTTTCCCATGGGCACAGAGCCCCTCACTCTGCAGGCCAGGATGTGTTGTGGGCATGAAGTAGATGGAGAGTTCAATGGATCCTGGGACTTTGACCTCAATGGACACAAAATGTTTCATGTTGACTCAATCACTGGAAAGTGGACTGAAGTTGAACCTGGATCCAGATGGATGAAAGAGATGTGGGAGAATAACAGGGATGTAACCATCTTCTTAAAAATGACCTCACGGGGGGACTGCAGGTCCTGGCTTGAGGAGATCAAGCCACACTGGGAAGAAAAGCTGGAGCCTACAGGTAACTGGGAAGAAGGGGAGGGAGTTCTCTGCAGATGAGTGTGTGTGTGTGTGTGTGTGTGTGTGTGTGTGTGTGTGTGTGTGTGTGTGTGTGTGTGTAACAATTTAATCACCATGAGCTCTTCAGTTGATGGCCATTTTTTTTCCATCATTCATTTCGTTTCTCACCCTCTCCTATCTCATTAATTGTGTTTATCTTGTTCTCTCACTGTGGTTCTCACAGGCTGTCACTGTCTGTGCATCCTTTTATTTCCTGTCCTTTTCCTCATTCTAGACTCTCTGCTGCTTTTCATCTCACCGGATCTTTCTTCTTCCCTGCCTCCATCCTCACAGGTAATCTTCATACTTCTTCTCCTACTAGAGGGAAGATGAGGCCCGATCATTGGCCTGCTTTCCCTATCATAGCTGTGTAAGTCTTTGAGGTCAGGAACCATGCCTTCTCTCTCTTCCTACTGGGAATCTGCTTAAACATTCATTGCATAGCAACAGGAGTGGAACTATGTGTGTTTCTGAAGCTAAGTGAGATTTCCTCAGATTTGATGTCTGCTCAGGACTCAACCTGTGTTTCCACGTCAGCCTCTCCAATTGCCCCAGATGTGGACCAGGCTTCGTCCATGGCCATCAAGCCCAACATCTCTGTCCTGCTGATAATCCTCCCCTACTCCATTCTTCTGTGGTTTCTGAGGAGAATCTGTGATCATGAAGGTACTGAGGGCAGTGTTGGGAGTGGGGTAAGGGACAGAAAGAAGGAATGAGGAAGCAAGAGGGAATTCCTGGAGTCCTGCTCTTGACCCTCATTTATAGCATCTTATTGAGAAAGGAGGAAGGAGATCTGGAGTTCATGTCACCTTCAAGCAACAGTTCCTGCATGCTCAGCCTTGAAGGACAGGAATCATGTCACAGACCAGTTTGAAATGAGGGGGGAACACAGCAGGTTCCTAATCTGGAGGGTCCCATGATGCAGATGTGGGGACAGCAGGAACACACACACACACACACACACACACACACACACACACACACACACACACACAGAAAAAAAAACAAAACAAAACAAAAACAAAAACAAAAAACCAAACATGTTAGTTCATATGCAACTGGTAGGGCAACCTGTCCCTTCTTCTGCACAGACCCCAGGCATTCCCACAGTGCACTTACAGACTTGCAGGCTCACACTCATACACAGAAACTAGAAATGAATCAAACAGCAGCAGCAGCCTCCAGAACCCCTGGACCAATGTCCCACTGGAGGCTGTGGGACTGAGCTGCTGCTGGAGTCTGCTGCTCCCATCTGGGCTGCACAGAAAGACAAGGTAGGGCAGGGAGAGTCACACACACAGCTGTGATACCACTCTCAGATTTTGAGAGTTTCAGAATGAAGGGGAAAAGATCTCTGGGACCCCACTAAAGTCCTGGATTACCAGGTCCAAAGGCCATTGTATTGTATAGAGTTCCTCCCCCCTCCTCCAGCCCCTCCCATCTGGACCAGAGTCAGGAAGCAGAGCCAGTCATCACTTTATTCTGAACTTCTTCAGGTCTGCAGCAGGGCCTGGGGCTGACTCTGGCCCATGGGAAAGAAGGGAGGAAGACAGGAGAGGCTCCAGGGATGCAGAGCCCAGGAGTGATGGAGGAGGGAACTGGATGACCCTCTGTGAGGGTGGCTGTCGGGTGGTGATGACTGGTACTGGGCACCCAGGAGAAATGAACCAGGCTGTCCTCAGACCTTCAATGGACCTGTTCCCTTGCTGCAGGTTGAAGATACTGCAGAGAAGGTTGCGAGAGTTCATCTGTTGCAGCCACTCTCCCTCTCATCGGCCTCAACCAGATGAATCATGGTGCTGCTGACACAGTGTTTCATGATCTTTCACTCTCTGCTGCTCACTTGGGTCTTTCTTATCACCTTGTACAAATTCCTTGGTGCTTCCTGGTGGGATTTGACCTTAACATGGAAATACTTGAACTAGAGATCTGGAAAAGAACATGGTTATGTTCCCATCCCTAGCATAGGAAACGGATAACCAGATCTCCGCAGTGGGAATGTGAAGTGTTTACTCCTGTGTGTATAACTTATCAGAACAGAAGTCAGTGTGAGACAGACTAGGAAAGCTCCACCTGTCTAATGGTATTCGACTGGGAGTTAAATTCTATGAAGAATATTAACTTTGTAATAGAGATTTATTATATCACCCCTGTACTAGGCAGTCTTCTCTAGAACAAAAGAATGTATCTATTATTTGTTTGTGACCATATATGATAAAAAGGGATTATTTCATAACAGAACAGGTGATATTTTATAATATTATTGCTATTACAGGTTAGTTTCTGTGACATGCACTAGGTAGTCCAGCAATGCCCACATGCACATTGGAGACAGAGATCCTGGAACCTGCTCAGTCCCACAGGCTGGCTGCCCCTGCAGTGACAATCTGGCAGTGAAAGCCAGAAGGTCCTGGAGAGCTGGTGCTACTGAATCCACATCCTCTTGATGCAGGTTCTGGGTCAGGGCTGCTCTCCACTGTGTGCAGAGAAGCTGCTTCTGCACATCCAGAACCTGTGATGGGAGGAGAATGAACTCCCACATGTTTCCTCTGGCTCAACATGGGCACTTTTGCACAAGTGCACTAGCACACACACACAGACACAGACACACACACACACACACACACACACACACACACACACACACATGACACATATGCACAGTGATAACAAAAAATAAAATAAGGACTCTAAGTATGGAGAGTATAAAATGCATAGTTCACTGTTGAAAACAATTTTGTAGAAGCAGGGTCTCACTATGTAGTTCAGGCTGGCCTGGAACTCAGAGATTCACCTGCCTCTGCCTCCTCAGCATCAGACCTAAAGGTATGTGCCACCATGCCTGACTGATCCTTGCATTTTTAGCTCTAATAGTATGTCATTTAAAGTATTAGAACCTTAAAATTGACTATTTCACTCACATTAATTTGTAAACTATAGTGACATTAAGTACAATGGCAATATTCAAATACCTCAGGTATCACTAAAGGAAACCTGTAATCACTAATCATTGGAAATGGAAATCGAGAACTAATTGTTTAGTAGAAGTCTTTGGTAACTGTAACAGGCCCCAGACCTTAGCACAACTGACTCCATGATAGAACTGCCATTGAGGCTGTAAAACTCAGCACATAGACAGCACTACCTGCCCAAACTAAAACAAAGGCCTGATCTATTCAAGCCCAGAGTTAAGGGAAAGTCTCTGAATGTACTAACCTTGCCTTTTGTCTTCTGTAGTTCCACTTCTGGCTAACTGTTCTTGTTAACTGACATCGATCCAGACATTGTTTCTGTGCTTAAAAGCTCTACCTGAGAAAGGTTCAGTGCTACACTGGGATCGCAAATACCCAATGTAGTTGTGACCAACTAATAAAGTGTTTTTATTGACTTAAATTCATGTCTGAGCAGTCTTCTCTGTTGAGTTCCCCACAACATTTGTGCAAGGTCCACCGAGATCCCAGAGCAAGACCTGAAGACACTAGAGATCTCAGTCTCTTGGAACAGGGAAGAGTGTGGTGGTCAAGAATCTCCTAGGGCAGTGTTCCTCAATCTGTGGGTCACAACCCCTTTGGGGGTTCAAGGGCCCTTTCAAAGGAGTCACACATCAGATATCCTGCATATCAGATATTTATATTAC